GTACAGTTGAAAACTATAGATGATGATAATAACTCATATTATGTATTAATACTACAATTAAATTAATCAATAATCACACTGATCAAAAATTATCTTCTATTTTTTATTTATAAGTTTCATGTTTTTTTTGTATTAGCGCTCAAAACGCGTTTGTTTATTATTTTCAAAAAAAATTAAGTTATACGATCCAATCAATCATTTTGCGCTTCTTTTATTCTTAATTTTTATATTTTATATTATCTACCCGCGCTAAAATAGATATGAACTATATTAATTTTAGAGTAATCGGTAAATAGCACATACGATATAGGACGCCGAGTATGCAAAATGTGAGAACTGACAACCTTCTTAAAGTTATTTTATTAAAGATACCGAATTAAGAGAAAACCCATGTTGCCGGCTTTTAGTACCGTCGTATTTTAGCCAGCCGTAGCCATTACAAAATATTTTATACAGGTAATGGATTGAATTTTTCGTATTCGCGTGATATAAAATAATATTGTTCACGTATGTATTTATGTGTTTTATTTCAACAAAATGACGGTAAATGTGATAACTACGTAAAAGCTGAAACGAAATGAAATATTGTGCTTGTTTTGCGTTAAAATGGATGATTTGGTCTTAAAACCAAAACCACATTTGTTTGAAAATTTTAGAAGAGCAGTATATCGATGATAAGATTTAATCAAACGAAAAAATAAAAATAATAATACGGACTTTTTTGTACCCAATTGGGCTTGGTTTTGAACCTGTATGCTATGTTACTTTATTGTTCAAGTTTATGGTTTGACAGTATATATGAAAAAATATGTTGTATGTTTTTTGATTGCTCAAGCACTGGACGAAAACGTTTGTCATATTTTGCAATATATTTAGCTCAGTATGTTGTTGTGATACGACGTAAGTATCATTGGAATATTGTACAAGATGCTCTACGACATTTAGGAAATCTAAATCTCAATACTGTAACTTTTACTCATATTTTATAGAAAAAATATACAAGTTTATAAATCAGACGACCACGTTTATATATGTAAGTATAAAAACTAAATGAATAAAACTTAATGAAGCCGAGACAGAATGAAGAATCATATATCAGATTTCTAAGAATTATATAAGCTAAACTTTAGAATTTTATCTAAAATTAAAATCCAAACCCGAATAATTTTTTATATTAAATAAAATTTTAGGAAATGAATTGGGGAAATTGCCTTCCCCAGAAACTAACTGTTTCTTCAAAATATCAACAAAATAAAATGTTTTTTTGAATCATTCAAATCATATGCTTCATTTTCACAAAACTAATAGTTATTGCACATTCCATACCTTCGAAAGGGCTAGACATGTTTTTGCCAAGAACGAATTACAACTTTTCCCCATCATTAAAATCATTTCAATCAATCATCAATTGAATGTTTTTAAATCATTCAAATTAGATGGTCTGTTTTCTCAAAAACTTAACACTAGCTTTGTGGATGTTTGTTATATACCTATTTTTCCTTAAGTGAGCCAATTTGACTCATGCAAGAAGATAAAAGTTTACAAAATGAAATTCTAAGCTAATTTTATAAAATATTGATCATCAAAAAATTAACAAATAACATTTTTTACGGTTTTGTCAAGTACATCAACTCAATAATTGGTGCTATTATAATAAGTTAGTGTTTATTGAATAAGTTTGCAATGCTTTTCAATTTTTATGCTTCGTAATTAGTAGTAAAACTTTTTAATAAGGATTGACTTGGTATCTTTTTTGGCTACCGCAATTTAAGGTATTTTGTTTCGTTTTGGACACATTAGTACATACAGCGTCAACCAAAGTGTTTTTATTTTCTTAGGAACAATGAAAATATAGTTGTAGGAATTTATCAATTAACAACAAACTCTTAATAAAAGTACAAAACTGTATTAAAATTGGATCACTTATATTAGTCGACATATCATGATATCTATTGTTTTTATGATTTCTGATCAGGGCTAACTTAAATTTCCATATAGTATTATAATTAAGTTATATTTCGCCCACAGCCTAAACTCGGTAGCTCTGCATTACTTAGCTACTAAAATTTTGCCCAAGAAAGATTTGCTTTTAGGATTTCATTCTTGTCCAAGTATGGAAAATCTTTTATAAAATATTTGCATTTTACACCTGATTCCAGGCAACATTTGATGCCGAATTTTTCCGGCTTATTTGAAATGTGCAGTGTAAATTGGCATCTAGCTTTAGTAGAAAATAACTGTTCATCGTTTGCTATGTTTGCGGCAGGTTTGAAATAAAAATTAATATTCAGTATAATTTTTTTTCATAGTTTTGGAATCAATGCAAATCATATATATGAAGTAATTATATTCCACATTCTATAACGCAAAATGAAGATGTCTGCGAGGAAATTAATGCCTGTCTGCGTAATGCATACATTTAATTAAATAAATACACTGCAAATGTTGTGTGATTCAAAACACAAAAACGTATTAAAAATCATGAAAAAGCTCGACATTATACACATAAGGAAGTGGTATCACATAAAGGATGTTTTTTAACACGGCGATCGTTTAAATTATCGCTCCTTTGTCGTGTACGAATAATGCTACGACACCAGACATGTAAAGAAACATGCATACAGTGTGTAAATAATCACACCAAGTTATGCAATAAATCTACAATCAATTAAAATAGATCGTTTTAAATAATATTTTATTTGTAATAACCAATTTGGTTCGACTTTTAATGAATACATGAGTGTGAAATCTTCGAAGAAATTTGTAGAATACTATACAAAATGAAGTAAAATGAGTAAGTAAATATACATGAACTTAATTATTCAATATTTATATCGTAAAATTAATTACAGTTGGATGAGATAATTCTATTGAAATTGCTTATGAGAACTGCAACTTGAAAATTTAATTTATCTTCAAATATAAAGGTTCTTAGTTTTGAGGTTAGTTTGAGATTGAAAATGTAATTCTCAATTTGTACGATATATCTTAATTTATCATTATATTTTCAGTAATGAAGAAAACAGATCCAACAATCAAATTAAAATAAAAGAATTACATTTTACAGGAATTTATCACAAGTAAAAAATTTATTGTGATTAAATGCAGAAATGTATCACAAGTAAAAAATTTATTCCGAATGTACTGTGTGAGCGAAGGCCTTAGATAGATAATGAGGCTCAACAAATTCATGGTATAATAAACAAATTTCTTTCACTAAAACGTGGTCAAATGGCAATAGTTTTTCTAGTGTTGTGCACTATATTTTATTTTAGGTTTTTCTGAGGTTTTTAATTCAAAAAGTTTAAATGAAAATTTTTTGTTGAATACAATATGACATAATTGAAAAGATCATGAATGTATTCTCTATAGAAAACAATAATACGAAAATAACTTTTATTTCTAATAAATAAAAATATGTATAATATTTACACACAATAATGTAATCAAAGTCATACTTGAAATATGACATGATCGATTTAAAGTAATTGCTGATTAATATATTCTATAATATTCGTTCACACAGTGGATTTAACATAATCCATAGAACAACGCCTTTTTGTAACTTTACTCATCATGTATTAATTGTGTTTGAACAACTTTATGTAATTAAAATAAAAATTAACATACATTCATTGACTGTTTGTATTTTTTTACTTTTTCGCTGGAAATATAATCTTATTCTTTGAACAGCTGTAATATCTGTCTTTCCTGAAAAATTGAAGCCATACATTTATATTTGTTTTATTTATCAAGCCCTGCACATAGCTTGATCTATGAATTATTTTTTTTATTTGAACGTTAATGCAATCATCATCATCAGTATCTAGTTTAGGTAGATAATTTGGTATAGGTATAAATACAAACCCCTCAAATTTACACAAAGTAGGAATTCTACCCGAATTTAATGCCTTTCGACAAGTTTGACATTCAACCTGATTATTTGAATCAATATTCAGAAAACCATTATTAAGAATTTGTTTTTGAGCATCATTTGATATTTTTCAGTTACTTTGAAACGTAAGTCTATCACATACAAAGCATACTTAGCCAAAGCTATCATTTAAAAATTGTTTTTCAAGCAATTTTCGTGCATTCCTAAACAAATAGAAATCTTTATATGGATGTTCGAATACTTCAATTGACTCTTTAAAAAGATCAGTTCTTGTCATAATATTATTAGTCACATTATATACAGAATCATCAATTTGCAATTGACGTAATGTAGTTGCTGTATCAGCAAGAGTAACAGCAGTACTTTTATCTAAAAAGATAACAGAATAATATGTTTAAATGTGAATAGTTGAAGCGTTTTTCAGGATTCAAATAGCGAAAAAAGATTCTAACTTATGTCAATGACATTAACATCTAAATTGATCTCCTGACTCAAGATTTTCTAATAAATCAGTAACCGATTATTTTCCTGCAGTTGTTTTGTTTGACGATGTAATCTTGATCTTTCAGAGTTTGTAAGAGGCTTTGAACCTGCATCAATATTTATAATTACTATTATAATAAATTAAAATTAGTCTTTATAGCCAATATAAAATAGAAACATGTAAACTTACGTTAAATTTCGAATGAAGAAATATTGTTTCCACAATTTCACTTATCATGTAATTGTGTTTGTAGAACTTCATTATTGACTGCTTGTTTGTTTTGATTATTTCGCTGGTGATACATTTTCATTCTTTGAGCAACTGTAGTATCTGTCTTTTGTAAAAATATTTTCCATTTGAGTAATAACCTTAAAGGTAAATAGTAACCTCGAAAAACTCGAATAATACAAATTACTTCAATAAACTTACATTTCTTACGCAGCGCATATTTTTCATTTATTTCATTATTTGCGATCATTTGCACTACAATTATTTATGGGGAACGGGATAAAATATATATTAATAGATCCTGACATTTTTGTCAACTCACAATTTATACTAGTATTTAAGCTTAAAAAGTTTTGACATGACTCTGTGCACGTATAAAGCACGCTTTCGGTG